ACTCAATTCCCCACCCGTAAAATCTCCGCAGCCCTCAACACTGCCTTTGCACTCTTCTCAATCCACTCTTGCGCCGCACCCGCATCCCCTTTATTTACGCTATCCGTGACTGCAGGAAACACATCAGCCCCATACCCGTTATCAATGCCCGGCGCACTGATCACATTCTTGAACGTCTCGCGCCCAGGCAATCCACCTGACGACGCAAAGCCACGCGAGAAATCCCGGTACTTCGCATTTACAACTCCCAGCATCACTGCATCCTGAAATCCCACGGCCGTCTCAGCAACCCGTGCGATATTCGCAGCCTGTGCTTCAAACTCTGCAATTGCATCGCCCAGCGGCGCGAGATCCAAGTCCGCTGACAATTCAGAGTCTGCGATTGTTTCGTTGAGTTCGGAAAGGTAGGATTGCAGGACTGAAGCCGCGTTGGGGAGGTCCCACGGGATGAGGGCGTCGTCGGCAATATGGTAGGCGATGAGGGTGAGCCACTGCCCGATTGCCTTGTGTAGCTTGAAGTCTGGGTCGCCGAAACGCGACATCCATGCGTACGAGTCGTAGTTGGAGTGGTAGTGGTAGATGGGGTCGGTTTTGCCGCCATCGGAGCCAATGTCGATCTAGTGGTGTGTTAAAGGTGAAACAGTGGTTGAAGATATGTGGGAACGTACACATGCGATCCCGTTTTGGTAGAAACTGGCATAGTCGGAGCCGCTGCCCAGCGGTGGGATTTCTCCCTGGGTAGTGTTGTGCCACATGTCGTAGAGCGTGGGGAAATCGCCCCAGCCTTCGGGGAATAGGACCTTTTTCATCTGTTCGACGACCATGGTATGTAGCTCTCCGCTGCCGGAAAACGAGGTCCTAGGGCCAGACACTGCAATGTCGAGGTTGAGATAGGCAACTACACTTGTTGTGAGCCAGGGCAAATTCGTTTCAACCCATTCGGTGGAGCCCTGGAGGCCAAATTCCTCAGCGTCCCAGGATCCAAGGACACTATGCTGTGTTATTCAATGTCGATTTTGGAGGGGACTTGACATACATCGTTCTCCTTGGCTTCCAGCCCTTTGCCACCAACTTTCCAAACGCATTCGCCAACTCAATCAGAACAGCACTGCCGGAATTTGGATCCGCTGCACCGCCAATAACCCATGCATCGCGGTGGTTTCCAATCACCACAAATTCGTCGGTAGTTCCACTGATTACACCAATGACGTCCCATGCGGGGGCTACCCATCCGTTCATGAGATGATCTATGTGTAGGAGAGCACCAGGTGCAGGACCGCTGTCATAAGTAATGTTGCTGAATCCGCCAGTCCACCCACTGCGGTTTGCTTCCTTGGCAGATACACCATGGCCTTTAAGAGCCTCAAGAAGCGGAAGCGAGTCTTTCATGCTGATGGGGATGGACGGGATGGAAGGTGTGTACAGCGAAATGTTTCCACGGGGAGAGTCCCACGAAGAAGCCCAACCGACCGTCGTAGGGTCGCCAGAGTATAGTGAAGAAAAGCGTACACTACCTCTCTGAATCGAAGAGGGATTCCTTGCAGGTCCATCTATCTTTCGTCAGTACTCACTCAAACAGAAATGTAAAACGAGGGCACCAAACCAGGATAAGCCTTATACCCATTTTCAACCGTAACTTCACCATCATCTAACGGATCCGTAAAGAGCACACACCCCGCCATCCCATTATCCTGCGCATTCTTCACCTTCGTCCCACGATATATCCCCCCATAATTCGCAAGCGCGATCTTACCCTTCAAGTCAATCCCCGCATCCTTCAAGACCTGAAAATCCGCTCGTGTACCGCGTCTGCCATCCCCCAAGAATCCTCATCAGCCCACATACTCCACCACACCAAAAAGAGCGAGAGGGAAANAGAAGAAGAAGAAGAAGAAGAAGAAGAAGAAGAAGAAGAAGAAGAAGAAGAAGAAGAAGAAGAAGAAGAAGAAGAAGAAGAAGAAGAAGAAGAAGAGGAAACTCACCCAACATACACATACTCACCCCTAACATCCCCACTAGCACTCATCCCATGATAGGCCGGAATAACATTCGGCAACCCACTCGTCTCATCCTCGACCAACACATCCTCGACCAGCCTCGCCTCATGCACCACCTCTCCCGTCAACCCCTCCAGCGTCAACGCCGACCGCTCAGGATACGTATACCAAATCGGAAACTCCTCGACCCTCACCTCGCTGAATCCTGCTGCTTTCCATTTCTCCGCCGTCCACTCCGCCATGGACCGGTTGTGCGTGCCCAGGTGGTCGCCATGCGTGTAGTACGAGGACCATGTGCGCAGGGCTACGGCGTCGAAGGAGTTGAGCAAGAGGGATTCGGTGGGCGTGAGGGGAGGTGGGTAGGTCGGTGTGTCGCGCGTTGTGTATTTGCTGGGAGAGTGGGAGTGGCGGCTGATGCGGGTTTGTAGGAGGGACCAGTCGCGTTGGCAGGCGTGGGTTGGTGGTGTGAGCGTGAGGAGGAGGACGGGGAGTAGGAGCCAGGACTCCATTGCGTAGTCCGGAATTACCAATTAAACTGTATAGAGATTTAATGGGTAGGAGATACAGAGTACATTTGCTTTGGGGGTACGGAAGTATTGGTTTTATATCCTATCTACCTACGTATCTATCCTGTTATCGTCCGTTTCTTCGCTGCGTTTAACCCCGCTTCCCCCAATGCCATCATCCTTCTCTTTTTAGTCGATTAGCAAAAGAAGAAGAAAACAAGTACAAAGAGCGATGCAGGTATGTCGTGCTTTCCACCACCCCACCAAATGTACCTGCCCTTTCGAGCATTACTCCGCGGGCGGGGTGTGGGGGTTGAGCGGTTGAGACGTTGAGTTACATGCAGTACCGTTGCAAATTGTGGTTATGTCGTTGTAGTGCAGGACTTGGCGTACATCATTTTGCGACTTTAGCTGCATGTTATAAGCAGTTTTCTAAGACAGGGTTGGGGTGGTGAGTGCATAGAGGTGCGATGTGATTGGCTCTTGGGAACGTCGTACGACTTTTGAGTATAGAAGGTGTAGTGGAATATTGGGGATGTGTTTGTGGGTGCTGCATGGTTGTGTGATGGATAGTAGAGTATATGCTGAAATTTCTAGTATTTTACTGGTAGTAAGTAGCTAGTTTATTTGATACTGGGTGCTGGTAGGTTGGGACGTTGCCTGCTGTTTTCTTTTAAGGAAAAAAAAAGATCCGATATGCTACACCCCATACAGATATAATCCATCTAAGTAATAGTAGTAGCTGGATAGTATATCTGATCTCAAGAGCGGATTAGAGAAGGTGGGTTAATATGTAGCCAGAGGAGCGACATCAGTGTGCAGCCACAGCAGCTAGGTAGCATGGAGTTGTAGTAGTGGATAGTATATTAATATAGAGTTAAAGACGCATCTCTCTTCAGCGATATCTACTAGCTGGAATCATAATATTAAAGAATACTGCCGTTGAAATCGGACCAAAGCGCCGCTGGAGGTAGGCGCAACTGTCGCGATACTCTGAACTGAGGAGAATCCCTTGGGGACCCGTCGGATGCCTCTACCCTAGGCTATAAGAACTAAGGGTAGATATACAGCTTGGTCCGAAAGTTTAAATGCGGGCTGGCTATCCAAAATCACTTCGTCTGTTTGCGAAATGGCTGTGTTATAACCTGGAATGTTCGATATCACTAAGCAGATATAAGACTCTAATTAGTGCTGACAGAAGTCGTAGCTAGTTTTAGAATAGCAGCTTACCACCTAGGTAGGTTTAGTCTCGTCCCTTATTACAACCTCATATTGAAGACCTTATGACTTGAACATCCACATCGTCACCTCCGAATCTTGAGTATCTCGCACCGCCACCAAGGGCACTCCGTTTGTTCTATGTTGCCGCTAATAGCTAATCAAGGTATGCAGATACGCTATTATTAGCTATGATGATGTTTTGATTGACAGAAGATCTGCCTATATACAGTGGTTAATATGGGTCTGACATGGGCCACCGTAAGCTTAAATCTATTTAACTTTCAGTACCTTACTATTCTTCCCTCGATGGCCCGGAATACCCGGACTCCAGACAGCCCACTCCATCGGTTAATTGGTGAAGTTGAAACAAAAGTACCCAGCACCGATGGTATGAAGCTCGCTTGCAGCCTTTGTTACTGCTGCTGTAACACTACTATCAGTCTTCTACTCAACGTGCACTTTGTTATAGTAAACGCAGACTGAGCATCCCTATCTTATCAAGGTTTGGCTTAAAATGACGTTATAGTGGTGCTGATATCCTGCGGTAGAGGTAACTCGTTTTGGTAGACTACTCCGCTTGGTCTGAGTTTCCCGGTTTCACCGATCGACCGAGAGCCACCCTCTCGCCGACTTGAAATAGTCGGACACCACTAAACCACCATCAGAAGTAGTAAAATACAAACAAACAGGCCCTTTCGCTTACCTGACCTGTCCGGCCGCTTCCGTTCCGCGAGAGCCATCCTGCTAGTACCAAGATCAACAACGCGCCGAAAAGTTAGGAACTCCAGAGCTTTGTAGCATCACTTCAATATTATGAGCAACTTCATTGTTTACGACTGTCTTCTTTGATATGTTACCAAGTAGCTTATACAAGCATATATGCATAATCTTGAAAAGGCACGGGTAAACGGTTCTGTCAACTGTGTACTCACTTGTCGCTACTGCCTTTCGATGCGCACTATAGATCAATCGTGAAGCTGAGTGAGATGAGTAAGATTTCTAAGCACTTATCCTGTTGAAACTCATATAAGCCTAAAATGCCATGTACGTACTCCACATGGTGACGTAGGTAGAGCAGTCTCATATAGTCCGTAGAGCTTGGGTACGTGTTTATCCATCTGGTAATCTATGGTTGTATATAATATATAAAGCACTACTGTGTAACGCCAGCATTATATCTTCATCCTTCACCAGCCTACCCAAGCAAAGGCCTTATTAGCCACTCATCTATCAACTATAACTGGTTAAGCGCGAATCCCACTCCAAAAACATCAAGATGTTCCACTACGCATCCAAATGTCTCCTCTCCGTCCTCTTCATTGCCTCTGTCGCATCTAGCGCAGCGTTCCCTTCCTCGCAAGCTCTCGAGCCTCGACAAGGCGCATGCCTATCCTCACTGGTCCGCCCCAACCCCGTCAACAACGTCGGACGAATCTCGTTCCAGCGATACATCGATGAGCCGAGAACCACCGGAGAGCGAGCAGACGCCTCGTGGGCACCCAACAACCTAATTGACGTCCACATGACCGTCCCGACCAATGTCTACACCACCCAAAATATCAATGTCTACGTCACCAACCGCAGCACCAGAGGCAATGCCATCATTCTTACCAACTTCCAGGACACGCTGCTATCTACTCAGCCTCGTGCGCAGATTAGAATAACGGTGCCTGGGCAGACACGCGCAAACGGTGTCGTCAGGCCCGGTATGGCATCCCCATGTGTGCATCTGCCACGCCTTGACGGCACGTGGTACTTCCAGGTTGAACAGTAATGAAAGTAAGGGTTCTTTTACTTTTGCTAAGGGGCTGGGCTATACTTTCCTAATCTCTATTTAAGTTAGAGGGAGACTGCGTGTGTGCGAGGAATAGTTGCATGTGGTAGTCTGTTGCGACTTTTAAGGATTCTTGTCATCATATTATGAACTGAGGTTCTAGGAAGGACAACTATTGGGGACCTGTTAGCTTCTATCTAGGCTTGAACCGTTACTGTACATATGTATTGCAGTCTCACCTAGACATAAATTTTGTCCTCAAGAATTCGTCTCAACTTACTCATAACAAATATACTCGGTGTTTATCTGCGAAACACTTCACACTTACAACATAGGTTTTCCAAAAAGAGGTGTTGGAAAATATTAATATTCAAGCCTCTCCAAGAACTTGGCACATAGCTCAACAGTTTGTATTAAAGTAAGGTTCCGTAAACTTAAGTTATGCATTTAGAGTAGGAATTCTAAACTCTATCCAGAGACCGTTCCCTCACTGGGCCGTCGCACAAACAACATCCTCGGGGTAGCATTGTTGGCACACGAAGTCTCAACGGAGACACACATGCCAGCACCGCCTCTGCAGCACGTGTTGATGACGCACAGCTGGTTGGCGCCGCAGTCCGAGTTTGCTTTGCACCCGGGACTGCTGCAGGATGTGGTGCCGGGAACACAGAGACCGCCGCCGCCAACGACGGAGCCGCAGAGGCAGCCGCTACCACAATAGATGTAGTTACGGCATGTGGCCCCGGCGCATTGGGGGTTGGGGTTCAGGTTCTGGCACACGCCGTTGGAGCAGTTACCGCCGTTAGGACACTATTGTGGTGTTAGTTACTTGTGAGCTGTGATTGACAAGCCATTGGGCACTTACTACGTTGCCGCATGAACCGCAGTTGTTGGAGTCGGTGTTGAAATCAGGTGGAGCGGCTGTCTCAGTGGCCTTGGTGATAATAGTTACAGTCGGGGTAAAGTATGCAGTTGCATCAACCTACACGAATGAATTAGACTATAGCTTTACAAGAGAGGGCACTAGACTTACAGATAGCGTAAGGGTCTCTTCCTGAACTGTGGTGACCTGGAGTGTAGCCGTGGTAGTTGCGTATTCAACGACAGAAGTAATCTCAGTGATGGTCTCGGTCGTTGTAGGCGCTTGCAGGCCAAGACACCCACAGCCCTCGGTAATCTTTTCACACTCGAATTGCTGTAGTTCTTCTGGTGCCTCTGCACACAACACGACCGGAGTAGGGGTAGGGGTAGGGGTGGGTGTGACTGGTGTTACCGAGGGTGTTGCCGAGGGTGTTGCCGAGGGTGTTATCGAAGTGGTATAGTTAACAACAGGATATGGCTGGTAGCTGCTCGAGTTGACAGCAGGGTATTGTTGAACGATGCTCGAGGCGGCGGGGTACTGCTGGATGATGCTCGAGGCAGCGGGGTATTGCTGAATTATGCTCGAGGTAACATCATAGTGCGGGTAAACACCGCTCGAGCTAGCTACGTAATAGGATCCGTCGACGCTGGAGGAGCCAGTAGGATAAGACTCCTTGGTGTTGTAGGAATCAGCGTAAGCCTGCTTCAGAGTGCTCGAGGAACCGGTGGGATAAGAATCCTCCGTATTGTAGGATCCATCATAGGTCGGCTTCAAACTTTCTGAGCACTTGGTTGAAGAAGACTTTGTAGAGGTAGAACTGGAGCACGTAGTAGAGCTGGTGCTTGTTGGAGTGATCTGGGCAGCGCTGATGGGATAGGTAGGATAAACACCTGCACTGCTTGCAGACTTCTTCTCGGTGCAAGTCGTGCTGGTAGAAGCAGTCTCGAGAACTTCACCTCGTTTGAGGATAGTAGTGATTGTGGGGCATGCCGGGACCGTGGTGGTTCTAAACAAATCAGCCGCCGCAGTTTAGTTTCCTAATAAGCAGACTTACTCAGTGATAGCCACAGAGATAGCATCAGTAGTACTAGTAATGGTACCGGTGGTGAGTGTCTCTGTGTGGGTAAACGTCTCCGTCGCGGTAAGCGTCTCTGTGACCTCTGTGGGTCTGGTGTCCGTCACGGTATTCACAGCCGTGGAGGTGACAGTTGAAGTGGAAAACTGGAGCAATGACGAGCACAGTTCCGGTGCATATGGAACGGCGTGTAAAACATTAACAACGTTGGTAATTAAGTCGCACTGAGCTTGTTCAGTAGCGAAAGTGGCTGTCGCCAAAGACAAAAGGAGTGAAGCGGTAAACGAGCGCATCTTGAAGGAGTGGAATGGTCTATGACCGGCTGCTGGAACTGTACCTGCTGAATGGAATAGTATTATCCAGTGCAACCTCATCCAGGCATGGTAACTAGCATATATACATGGCGGAATGTTTCTCGATTCAGGGTTATTCTGGTGGCGCTACATACGAGCTGAGCATTCCAGAACCGAGAGGATGCCTGATCAGGTAAACCGGCGCCTCCGAGATTCTGCTCGCTTTCCCCCTACTAACAGAAGACACAAAAATGCTTGAGCCGAAATGAGATGGTACCCGAACTCCCAAAGGGGTAACGGGTTGGCGCAAGAGTCAAGGTGTGCAGATGTGCTTTTTACAACCAACTTATTCTGGCATAGCGAGGACGGGATCGCGCCGCACGATGGCCAAGGAAAAGTTCGGTAGATCCGCTCCATGCGAGAAGGCGTTCTGTAGCGTATCGAATGGCATAGTGCGAGGGGCTAAATTCGGGTGTCCCTGCCAAGCGCAAGGCTGGAGAGCAGCTAAGTAGATCTAGATCCCCGGTCCTCGGGCCTTTAGGGTCTGAGCGTGAATCTACTATGCTTTTGAATGCGTCTTGTGGCTTATCCATTGATCGTAAAAGACTGTAAGCGACATCCATTCTTAACAGCACAGGGCCAAAGATATATAAGTAAGAGGGCAAAATTCGGCAGTACGCAAAAACGCTGCATTGCTGGTTGGGTATATGGAACTGATCCTAATGCTTTTGCACATGTGAATGCGCCACATACGAAAGGCGTTAAGCAGTGCGCCGCGCATCGGGCATGTTCCTCCTTTCTTTGGCAGTGACCTTCTTGCGACGGCGTTCGATGACCTTGTCGCGCTGCTTCGATTTCATGTTTTGGAAGCGGTCGACCAATGCAATCTTCTTTTGCTCGGCTAGAATGTATGGTTAGTACGTGACGGTTAAGTAGAGACGCGATCATGGACATACACTTCTTCAAGAAGAATGGCTTCTTGCCCTCCTTGACCAATTCCTTTTCCTTCTTCTTGTGCTCGCGTGCGACCTCCTTGAGCTTCTCCTTGTTTTCTCTTGCCTTCTGCTGTGACTCCATGGATAGAAGCTTCTTCTTGAGCCGCTCCTTTTCCTCTTCGTTCTTTGTCTTTTTGATGGTGCTACGCAGTTCAGAGATTTCAGACGCCCGGTAGTCATTAAGGAAGGAATATCGCTTGTCGACCACATGCTCGTCTGGCCGGGGCCCAGACACGTTATCAAATCGTGGGTCTCGGAAGACGGGCTTCTTCACCTCAACCACCTGGCGTTTACGCGATACCATGCGCTTGCTCGACTGGACGGCTGGGGCGTGTTTGCTTGATCGCGCATGGGGCGCGGCATCTGAATCAGAGCCTTCGCTGTCACTGACGTCGTCGTTGTCGCCACTATCACTCTGAACGGGCTTCGCCTTGGACTTGCTCGATGTCTTTGCTTTCTTGCTAGGCTGCGCACCACTTGCCAGCTTCTCAGCCTTGATCTGCCGTAATCGCTCTCTCAACGCCTCCAGCTTGTCTTCTTGTGATTTCGATGTGTCGTCGCCTCGCTTGCGTTTTCGGTCAGACGATTTCGAGAGTGCATCCTGGGCCTTGGCTAATGCGCCGAATGAGACTCTGCTCATTTGCGCCTTTACTTGGTCGTCGTCGTTTTCAGCATCTGACTTGTTCATATTAGCACCACCTACTGGCAGATTGTTCTGTATAATGCTCACCATGTCTTCCGACCCCGCGTCTTCTTCACCATCGGAGCTGATGACATTTCCGCCTTCATCTGCGTCGATCACAGAGGCAGAAGAAGACCGGTCCGTAACCTCGTAATAGTCTTCACCATCCGAACTCTCCTCTGCCGCGCGCAGGTTGCGGTCGAGCTTGTTCGCAAGAACCATCGCGGGCACGTGTATCAAGTCGCCGCTGTGGAATTATCAGGCTGTGAGATACAGTCCTTGGATTGGAGTGGAGCGTCGCGAAAACACCCCAGATTGCGCTACCCAACTTTTCGGTGGACCCCACATGGCGGTCGGGGTTTCGATTCGCCGATAGGGCTGACGGGCAGGCAGTTGCGCGCCCAAATTTCTATGCATAGGCGTCATCAGCTGGGCTCATGCTTCGGGTACTGCATCGTCACCTCGCCCTGCTCTTCACTCCTCACTCATCTCTGGCCTCCAAGTCGTCCTCACCGCCAGCGCACGTGCTCAATGGCCGCCATCGCGTCAGCTCGGTACAGCATCCCCCACTGCGCTCCAGTCGCAACTTCTTCCACTAACATCACCAACTCCAAGACCACCACAGGTCGACATAGTCCTTTTCCAGAGCATCCGCTCGCCTGCACCGCCACAGGCCCCAGCATGAACGATTCATGGAACCCGAATGCGCTGCCTTTCCAGCCTGGTGGCTTTGGCCATCGAGAGCAGGATTTGGGCGCCTTTCAGAACCAGCTTCCTCCCCCTCCCCCTCCCCACGCCCCTCAAGGACCCCCGGGCCCATATGGATCACCAGGAGTCCTGTGGAATAACAACTTTCCTATGCCACCTCCGCTGATGCCACCCCCTGTACCTCCACACATGTTCAACAACCCACAAGCATACGGCGACTATGGCGCCCACCTCCACGCGCAGGCCTACCATCAGTGGATGATGCACAACGGTCATGGATATCATGCGCCTCCACCTCCGCCTCCGCCTCCACTAAACTATCCACCAGGTCCAGATGCTTTGGCAGGACATCCGCCTCCGCATATGCAACAACATGGGCCGCCGCCATTTGGACAGCCACCGCCGTTTGGACCTCCGTTCCACCATGGCCCTCCGCCATTTATGCACCATCAGCAACGACAGATGTTTGGGAATCGGACGCAGCACCACGCAATGCACACCCAGGCAAACTTTCCCCAAGGTGCAAGGAACGAGGACATACAGTATGCTATTGATGCCTTGTTCCAAGGCGTAAAGTTCAAGAATCGCAATGCTGATATTCACAGGGCGCCAAATTACCCAGGCAAGAAATCAAAGCCTGTGAATGCTGTCAATGGCCACGCCAAGCAGAAAGAGTATGACATCCTCCATCGCGTTGCTTCTCACGAAGCCGACTGGCACCGGATTAACAAACATCACAGTGTATCCAAGGGGCCCAAGCAAACTCCTGCTACTGAAAAGAAGGGACGTTATGGTGATGAGAAGATCATGCTTCCTGCGCCACAGCCCACAGAGGAGTACATGGAGCAGTCTGCTGGAGAACCATGTGAAAACGAGAATCCTGGCCCGATGTTGGTAATTTTGGACCTCAATGGTACAGTCCTGTACCGGCCCAATCGCAATGCGAAGACTATGATCGAGCGCCCGTTCTTGAAGCCCTTTCTACGCTACCTGTTCGAGAACTTCAAGGTCATGGTTTGGTCAAGCGCCAGGCCAGACAATGTAAAGGCGCTCGTCAATCAAGCTCTGGACAACGATCTCCGCTCAAAACTCGTAGCTCAATGGGCGCGCGACAGCTTCGGCCTATCCCCAGCAAATTATCAGCAAAATGTTCAAGTGTACAAGAACTTGAAACTAGTATGGAGCCGGAGTCAAATTCAGTCGTACCACCCAGACTATGACGCTGGCGGTCGCTTTGGTCAGCACAACACGCTTCTCATTGACGACAGTTCTATCAAGGCTAGTGCCCAGCCGTACAACCTCCTCGAGATTCCAGAATTCTCAGCTACGCCTGAACAGATGCAGGGTGACGTACTGCGCGAGGTAGCTGGTTATCTGGAAGTGTTGAGGAAGCAGTCGGATGTCTCCAAATACATCAGAAAAACCCCGTTTGTGGAAGGTGGCCAATGGACGTTTGAGTGGCCTGATAGCATTGCGGGTGGGGGCGAAATGACTGCCAAAGCTTCTGCTCCTACGCTCAGTAAGAAGAAAAAGAAGAAACTAGCCCAAGCTGCTGCAGCAGCTGCAGCTAAAGCTAATGTCCCAGTGTCACAGGCCCCCTTGTCAGATGCGACTGATACTGTGGCCTCTGTGCCTTTAGTAGCCTCTGTGCAAAAGGACTGGTAGAAGTATTTCCGGCTTGAACATGCCATGAAATGGCCACAACTCCAAGTTTGCTATGCGATGCCGGCGTTTGGGGTAACAAGTCTTCCACGAAAAGTCGATACCCTTTGGACATCTAGCCTCTGCTAGTACGAGACACGAAAAGCGAGCATCATGTACATATTTTGAGCGATTATACCATCTGGCGACTGTTCTGCTGCGTTTTTGTAAAGGAATGGTTATATTCCTGCTTATCTCCTTGATCCGAACAACCTTTGGTCCGTAATTCCAGCAGCCATTCTAAAGGTCACCTTTGCAGCTTCAGTAGCGAGTAGTGAGCAGCAACAAGCTTGATTGGATAGGGCAAATTTCCTGTAAAAGTAATACCATGAGTAGAATTAAGGATCTTCCGTCTTGTGTTATTGTCAGGCTGATCAGTTATAAGATGATGAAACAACCTCTACTACATTTCTTGATGCTTACCATTGCCGCTTTGGTGTACACCAGCAGTTGGTATCCCACAGCAGCTCCACACAAAAAAACAAACACCGGTCGAATGCCATATGGTTTTTCGTCCGGTCCATCTCTTGAAACATGTGCATATTGGTTACACAGAACAGGGACATTGGTAGCATTCCCTGACCCTGAGTAATGGCAGTGCTGCATGCATTGGGCGGATGCAACGGCCTTGTGTCCGCGGATAGCCGAGGCGGGACGAGATTTTCCCACCGTCATCCAGTCATTGTCGCCGGTACCCGCGGGTCCGTTAATACAGCACAATTCCTTCTCCATCCGCTGTATCACCTTACTACGCGACGCAGAATGTCCACAGCGGATGATTCCATGACCGGTACTGGCACTGGCCAACAGGACGCAAACTCAGCATCAAGCAAGAAGCGGACCCACCCGGAAGACTTCAAGCGCGCCTACAAGGCCTGCATCAATTGCCGGCAACGCAAGGCCAAATGTATCCTGGGGACCGGCCCTGATGGTGGAGAGCTAAAGCCTCCCTGCCAAAGATGCAAGCGAGAGATGCGCGAATGCGTCTTCCGGTCGGAGCGCTCATGGGTCAAGAGACGCAAGCCGGGAGAGGCGAGAGAGAATGAGGACGAGGAGCCTGCCCAGCCCCAGTCAAATCCACAACCCGTCGTTCATCCCTCGCCCAGTGGCCACAGATCGTCCACTTCGACACATGGGTTCACCCCGGGAGGTAGCCCACATGTTAACGGCGGCCACCATCGCCCGGAATTTCAGTCTCCACACAGCCATCTTCGTCGCGTTTCGTCTTCTCAGCCAGATCTAGCGCATTCCGTGATGAGGACTGTAGTTTCTAGCGGCAGCGATGCGTTGAATCTGCTGTTTGAGGCTGCAAATCATCGCGACGCCATTGACAACCAGGAGCAGTCAGGGTCTCAGGCATACGAGACACCCAGGTCAGGGCCATCTGGCTACGACAATGGTGTGCCATCATCACCATTTCACACGTTCAGAGCGCAGCCGGTGCAGATGTCAACACCGTCGCCTGAGACTCTGAAGATATGGACTTCATGTCGATTTGTGCAAATGGGCTGGTTCTCCGCGCATGAAGCCGTTACGTACGTTGATCTATTCTTCAAGAACTGTTCGCCCTTGTCGCCCATACTAGGAGAGTTTTATTCGCATCATGAAAACCACTACACACTGATTGCGTTGGATCCGTTTCTCTGCACTACTATCTTGATGATATCATCTCGGTATAACATCCTCCCTGGAGTAGGTGGCGCGTCGCGAGGCTACTTTGTCCATGACAGACTCTGGGAGCAATGTCAGCGTTTCATTATGAAAATCATGCTGGGTCAGGTGAAGCCCTCCAAAGCACAAAGTAGGACTATCGGATCCATTGAAGCACTACTGCTTCTATCCGAGTGGCATCCTCGTGCCCTTCACTTTCCGACTGCTGCAGATGGCTGGGACTGCGAACTAATGATTGGCGCCAACAACACCACTGAAGAGGGTGCAAAGCTCTTGGAAGGAGATGTGACCTCGAACAGATGGCTTGAGGATGTCATAGAACCTGCAAAGCGCTCTGATCGCATGTCTTGGATGTTGATGGGCTGTGCCTTGTCCTTGGCTCAAGAGCTGGGCCTCTTTGAAGACAATGCAAGGATCGACAAAGACCAGGTGTCTTACCCAAAGTTCTCGACCGAATATCTGATCCTACGAAGGATTCGGGCTCGGAAATTACTCTACGTGCTGCTTGAACAGCTCTCGTGGCGCCTGGGTTGCACGTCGATGATCCCGCAAAGTCTCAATCATGCTTTGATGGAAAAGATTCCGGTCGATTCAGCGACAGGTGCTGTAGAGCAATGGCAGTCTTTCATGAGTGCCTGGGTGGAGCTTACAAAGCTTGCACGTTCCATTTCTGATACCATATATCCCAACACGACTACTACAAGGAGTCTTCTGCGCACGGGTCGCTACATAGGCCTGCTGGAACACTTCCAGCCTTTGTTGACCTCGTGGAGGAAGAAGTATCTCGACCCCCGCAGTAAGTCACCTTACACCATTAACCATGTGAAAATCTCAATGCTGATACTTTACAGAGCTCAAAGTCGGATTGCATGATATGCTTCACATAGAGTATCAGTATGTACGCATCTACACCAACTCGCTAGGCATGCAAGCAGTCGTCGAACGCACGCTTGCCGAGACCGACCCAGATGTTCCTCAAGAAGACAACCTTCCGTTTAATCTCGAGCCAAGAGACTACGACTTTATCCAGGAGGTGGTTGATGGAAGCTGTCAGATTTTGCAAAAGGTCTGCCAACTGTCGGAAACAGGAGCACTACGCTACTCGCCAGTGCGGATATTCCTACGCATCACGACATCGTCGA